CAAATACTTCTTCTATTTTCTCCAAGTTTATTTTTAGTATTCTATAAAGCCATCTTCCTTTAATATAATGTTCCAATAATTGTTGCCTTTTCGGTTTATTTTTCTTTTTGATAATTTTCGATAATGCTCTTAATCTCCAGTTTACCAATCTCATTCTCATTCCGGTTTGCAGACTCTTTCGCCTTTTTATCAGCCATTTAATTTCCGTTTAGCCTGATATGCGCAGGAACCCAAAGATCCCATCATCTGAATGCGATAAAGTTTTTGTTGAATCTCTAACAGTATATCAGGACGACTTTCTGAATCATTTCTTTGTAGGCTGATAATGATAATTTTAAATCTGAGCAAATCACGATTCTTAATAGTCTAATCTCCTCTACTGACAGCATATTGCAATTATTTCTGCAGTATATATAGATAAGCCTTTATTTAGCTTCTTCCCTATATACTGATTTTGAATTCTGGGACTACAACTGCTGCTCGTGTTTGACCAGATGAACTCTGGGACACATCTGTATGACTTATTCTATATACTCTTTTATAGTTATTGAATTTTATTTTTATTATATTTAAATCTACAACTGCATTGGGTAAAATCCAGGGTGGTTATATTGCTAAAGGCACAGTTGGATTGATATTTAGATGATTTAACTCTTAGGCAACATTTGTAAAATTGACCAACCAAATGATTTATCTGCTTCTTCCTTCTCAGGCTGGGCTGTAAAGCTATTATTTTGACCCAGTGGTTGAATAAAAGCTGAAATCTTCTTAAGGCAAACGGCATTTTTCACCAACCTCTAAATGTAGAGCAGAGATTTGAGTTGTTCTAATTGCTCCTGTAATTATTCACAAAGCCTGATGTAAGATGATATCTATCTGACCCATAAACGTTACAACCATAATCAACATTAACTCTGATCGGGCTAATTAATGTAGATCGTTTTCAGAGAACAAGCCTTGTTTGTAGAAAAGCTGTTTCTTAAACCTGCTGGTTTTCCTGTCGCCTCAGCATTTATCTGTAGGTTTCTGGACCTGTTATCAATGTTTCCTGGTTCATTACCGGTATTAGACTCCCCTTTTTTCTTTGCAACTTTAGGTCCCACATAGACACAAAACAAATATAGATAAGCTTTTCTTTACGTCAAAAACAAAGAAGTTGTGGGTTTGAAAAAAAAGGATGCTTGTGACTCAGTCTTAAGTTTCGGCATATGAGGAGCTCATGATGTTGCCATTAGTTGATATTTAATTACATATGCAATGTCATGGTAAAAAAACACAGAGAAACATGGTTTACCATGGTTTAGTTTTTTTTTAGTTTTTTAAAAACAAAATTAAGATAAAGGGTTAAAAAAAATGCCTTTAAGTCAGAGTCACCCCCACTCAGTAAGTTTTGTTTATTATATAGCATGTTGATATGAAGCCAAAAAAATGGGTTTTTGCTCGTATGATTTTTAAAAATACTATTCTGCCACCTGCCTCTTAGTCATCCTGTGATTCAAAAAGAAAACTCCCATTTTACCGTCTCACACAAGTTCTCATGTTTCATTTGTACTTGTGTGCTGTTCCAATTGATTCACATACCCCACATAAACACTCCAGTTGTTTTTTTGTTTTGTTTTTTTTTTTGGTTAAGTTTAAGGAAACATTTCTTTTGTTTGTTGTCTACACTTTATACTCAAACTGACTTCCTAATTTTATAGGAAAAGGGAACAAGACTATTTCAGCTTTAGTATTTCTCTATTGCACCCTAGATAGACATGATATACTTAGTTTAAGCCAATGATTACCCTGTAACACCAACATTTTAAATTAAATCACACTCATGTTCAGATTAATAAGGTTGACAAATTACTTCAGTTCAGATTTTCTTTTTTATGTGTTTTGTTACTTTATATGAATTCAGACGTTTTCACACATCAAGATTAGTCCTTTCTGTTTGGGTTAATTGTATTTAGATGAAACTAGTGTTTGTTAATGAGCATATTTTCAACAAACAAGGTTTGAGTAAGTCTTTACCTGAAACTTTTTTGTCTAAAAGAAAGATAAACACGGGCTGATTCATTTCTTTTTTCAGCATATCAACAACATATTTGTCTAAAGGATATTTAAGTTCAGTGATGGTCTGGCACATCTCTTTTTCTAAACCTGACAGGAAAGATGTTGGATTTATTCAAGAGGATTTTTGTTCTCAAAAATCTGATCACTTTTAGAGCTATTTTAAGGTAGAAGCCATTAAACCCTGAAAAAAATATATACATTTTTATTATTATTGTTTTTTTTTTTTTTTGGAGGGATTATTAGAATAACATTCTTGATGATTCACGTGTATGTTTGTATTTATGTTAACAGAGGATCTGTTTTGTTGCCACGGCACTGATCCTGTGACTAACTGTGGTCTCTTCTTTTGTTTTGTCACTTTCACTTTCAGTTTATTTCAAAAGTTTCGGTATAAATATATATTTAAAACATCTGTATGTTTAAAAATAGGTAAATATTTGTTGAAAAAGAAATTTTATTTGTCATGTTTTAACTGTAATTTTAGAAATTTACGTCTGCTAAATGCATAAACAATATTTGACATTACACTAAAGTCAAGAACATTCACAGTGACATCACTAATTATATATAATAGGTGGTACCAAACTTGTACTCCTAGCTGATTTCGATATCCATAAATTGCCCATTAAACTATCAGAGTTCCATAAACAAGTGTTACTATACTAGAAAATGATATATGTTCATAACTACTCCCCACACTCCTCTATCATATGGAATAATAGATTCATATTACATCACAATAAATCCTTATTTTACAAAGAGTGGATGGAGAAAAATAATTTTGGCTATTAAAGAATGGATGCTAATGGTTGCATGTTAAATTACAAACAATTTTGTGCAAAATATCAATTCTTCCCTCCAAAAGCTGAATTTACCAGATTATTAATGCCTTACCAAAACAATTTATTAATCAGATCAAAAATATAACATGTTATCCAATGACCCCAGAACTACCCAATTTATCTATTAATGGAACATCCATCACTGACCTAAATTCAGTAACCAGTCTAAACAAAACTTTATTCCCTGGGAAAATAAATAAAAAATAACATTCTTTGCAAATTTGAGAAAAAAATAAATTAAACACTGAGAACTCTTTATCTAAAACTCCCCATAAAACCAAAAGCTAAAGCAACTCTCTTTAAATTTGTAAATGCAATTTACCCCTCAAAAGAACTACTAAGAATTCGTTTTAACATTGATGACAACAAATGCTCATTCTGTGAAAGTGATATAGAAACAATTGACCATGTTTTCTATGAATGCAAACAAACCAAAACATTTTGGAATTGCTTAACAACATGGATCAAATAAAAAAATTGCACTTACTGAATCTATTTCTAGAAATATGGTAACTTTTGGAAACAATATAACTCTGTTGTAACCTAATTTCGTGTTTAGCTAAATTCTTTATTCATAAACAAAGAGTGTTGAGATCATTCCCAATCTTTAAAGTTTTTAAATCTGAATTCAAGTTATATTGGGAATCTCTTAAATGTATCAAATCATAAGAACACCTGACTGAAATACTGATGGGTTTGTCCACCGATTCATCAAGCCTAACATGAATCCCCTTGTTACCATGGTAGTAATTATTTTATTATTATCAGACATTCCTTTTTTATTTTTTGTTCCTTATCAATAATGCCTTGTACTTCCATTTTTTAAATCTGCATCTACTCTGCCTTCCACAGACTTTGTACTGTTGGTATTGCCTTTGTTTAAATAAGGTTTAATTTTTTTTTTTTTATAAATAAATAAAAATTGACAGCGACATAGATAAAAAAAAAAATAACCAGAAAAAAAAAATAAACGTACAAAATATTTTAGAACAGAGCAATAATAATTCAACCTGGCTCCAGTTCACAAACGTAAAATATTGCTGTTACTTTAAAATTCACAGCAGAATTTACTTCCGTGTTTGACGTCATATGCGTAGCGGGGGACGCCCTGATACGTCATTCCGTATAATCTATATATGAAGCGTAATCGCGCAACAGTTGGTAAGAACTTGGAAGTCAAACAGAGGACTGTGTTAGATCCACAAGAAGGTTTCCTTCAGCTGTTAGACTGTAAGTAGTATTGTTTTGTATTGTTTTTTGGTTTCTTTAAACTTTTAGAGAAATTTATTCATTTTAAACTCGATGGTTTAGTTCTATTTTCTACGTAAAAGTATGAAACTTTACAACCGGAACATGACAGCTGAACAAACGAAACTGACATTTGTTTCTGTGGTGGAAACACGTAACCTTCCTGTGGGTAAAAGCAGATTTAATTTAGTGGGTATTTTCTGTTGCCTCTAAACTATTCTGTAAACATGTCAGGAAGCTTTCGGAAATGTATCAGACGAACCACAAGAGGCTTTTAAGCTGTTTTTTAATGTTTCTCTTTAATATGTTTGATTAAAGATGATAAGTAGTTTCTAAAATGGCTGTTTATGGTCTAAAATGTTCTGATTGCTCAAACCCAGACCTGGTTATTTCAATCAGGATTTAAAACATGGATTATATTTTTTTTTATAGCTTCTCCTGGAAAACTAAGAAATAAATTGGTTGGTTTATTATCTTAGGGTCTAAAGAAAGTTCAGATATTATGTTATTTGTTTATTTGAATGAGTGTATTTGTTTTTTTTTGTTTTTAAGACTTTAGACTGAGGTCACAATATTTTTTGACCTTAATTTGAACATTTAACAGTTTGCTTTACAAAACTCTTGTTTCTTGAGGAGAATATATACTATAAATCAGTTATACTATTTAAAAAATAGTTTAGGAGGACATAAAAATGTATTTTTTGTTCTTTTCTTTTAGTTTTCTTTGATTTTATGAGTCATGAAGAATGTATTTTTTTCTTTTAATTGGCAAGCAAAGGGAAAACTTGTTTTGCAACTTAAATAAACAAGTTAAAACATGCATGTTGGAAGATGAACACTTAACTGGGGGAAAGGTTCTTCCCTGTATATTATGACTAAAATATCTGGTTTGTCAACAAATCTTCACATCTACAACTAGAAATAGTTCTCCTTCATTTTTTGAAGGGCCTCTACAAGCTGTTTTTTTTTTCCATATAAAACCATTTACTTATTCCTTGGCATCATACTTTGTATACATGATCAACCGTTTCTTGTATTTGCAGAGAAAAAAAAAATAAGGATGGAGAATGGACAGGTTGAAAACCATGTCCCCAAACCAGCCAATGGGATGGAAGTTAACACACACAGAGACTCTAAGCTGAACTCTGATGTAGAGAACATAGAGGACACAGTGGAGTTCAAGCTGATGAGGGCCTACGCTCAGAGGAGAAGGCCGAAGAAGGTTGACCCACACAAGGAAAACGGCAAGGCTTTAACAGACTATAGCAATGATGCAGACCCCACACCAGGTCAGACGACAGAAAAGACTGAGAAAGAGGAGGGGAAGAAAAAGAGGAAGAAAAAAACAATATGGAGGCATTTGAAACCTATCCTGAAGTGTGTTAGGCCTCAGACTGATGATATGGAATCGACACCAACACCAGCAACACCAACATCAGACGAGACACAAGACGATCCCAACCTGCGATGTTTTCCTATGGCTTTCACTCTGGATGGTGATCACGGTACGACCCCATGTCCAATAAATAACATTCAGTTGTTACAGAAGCTTGCATGCTTTTCCAGGTAGAAAGGGATGTTTTTGTTCAGTCCAGAACCAAACATGTCCTAAAGCTGCTGGAAATTATGTTTTTTTTATAAAGGCAGGCAATTCATGCTTAATTAGAGCTTATTAATGTTGGTTTAATTTTAGGTCTTCTAATGCTGAGTTAAACGGCTTTAAAGGCTAACCTGCCCTGCTAAATTATTTTTGAATTTACAAACATTAATAAACAGATATGTCAAACACAGTAACTCTTATTGCGAGAAGAATTATGTAAATCCACTAACAGAATTGTTATAAATGCTGCTGAAACATGTCCAGTTAAACAAAAATACATAAAAATATGTTTTATTTTCTTTAAAATCACAGACTTTTACATTTTTCTATTAAAAAGTGTGAAGCTTTTTTTTTTTGCAATAGTATTTCAACTATTTCAGCATCGAGATTTGATGATAGACTAAAAGTAGTGTATGATTGTGAAGCGGAGGGAAAATGATATGTAGGGGTGTCTAAACTCTTCTGGGACTAAGTGCTTTAGTTAATGCAATAAACATAAGGTTTTGGTACGAAACGATGAGGAAAATCCCCTAGTGCCCACTGTGAAGCACAGTAAGGGATCAGTGATACTGTGGGCCTGTAGAGAACCTTGGCATGAATGGTGTCAAACTCTTCCAAAGGGATAATGCGCCATTTTTTTGTGTAAATGACTTATTTTCATGTTGGAGTTAAAAAATGACTGATTTTTAATGTACGATTTTGATGCTGCCATAAGAGGAAAGTCTTTCTGGTCATTTTAAAGGCTGCCATAGATGTGAGAGGTTATGCTGTTAGATTAGTTACTTTTACAAAATTAAAAGACATTTCTTTGACTTAAACTTCAATTTAAATCTAATTTGTCTAGAAATACTGAAACTACTGTGATCAGCAAAAACAAACAGATTTAGTTGAACTAATTTCTCTTTATACATTACATTTTACACATGCTTTCCAAATAACAAGAATGTAATAAACTGTTTGAGCTTTGGTGACTGTTGGTAATAAATAGATGGAGCGTTTTTCCGCACTGGAAACCATCAAGGCTTTGAAACCAGACTTACTTGATCTGCAGGGGATGTTCTCCATGCCTCCTTCAGTCCATGCTCTTTGTTTGCAGTCTCACCCCCTGCTTTATTTAGTCATATTTCTCTCTTTCTTTCAGATTCGTCCAAAGATGAGGACGAGCTAGGGGAGGTGGCGTCCCGTGTGATCGGGCTCGCCGACGAACTTGAGTTAACCGAAACCCCCTCAGAACTGGAGACGGACTGTCCAGAGGATGCACGCTCTAAAGGTGCTTTCACACCATATGAGAAAACTGCAAAACTATCCGCTGTTTTACTCGCCTTGAAATTCCTCTGGCCACTGAAAGCAATTCATAGTCCCTGATTTGATTTTGTGATGCGAAAGTAAAAAGTTTTAAAACGTTGCAAAAAATTGTCATTTGCCTTGCTAAGTTCACCACCTTCAACTTGCTCAGCTTTGCCCCACCATCTACATTGAGCTATTCGGTGTGAACGTGCCTTACTAAAACCCTTACTGGTTTCCCTTTAGTTTGTGGCTTAAAACATTATTTTGTCATTTAAACAATCGTTTCCTCTTTTTAGATGATTTGGAAAAGACTATTGGTCTCCTGCTGAGGAACGTGGGGGACAACATAGACAAAGAGGTATGAACCCAAATGAATGGAGCTTTGCTGTGATAGGATAACCTGTCTTTCCTTTAAACTGCTTATATGATGCAATAGGGTTTGCTGTAGAAGTGAATAATAAAACACAGATGGGTCCAGAGTTCAAATGGTTTGCTTTTTTTTTAACAGCTTGTTATGAAACTTGGAAGAACTTTTTTTTTTTTTTTTCACCTGAAATTACTTTTTTAAGAAAGGAAATAAGGATTGGATTGTTTGTTTTGTAAAAAACTAACCAGAGTTTGTTTGGCTCCCTCCACAGTTTAATATTTTACAAATAGCTGCAGACCTTTTCTTGGACTACAACTTCTTCTCTAAGCTTCTCAACACATTCTTTGTAAGAATCGGATTCAGGAACTCACACTCCGACGCTCTGGGACCCCAAGCAGGAAACAAAACCCAGGTCGCCGCCACCTTGGAGGTGAGAGCATCTTTTTGCTGTAGTATTAACAGATTGGTGCTACAATCTATTGGCTGTTTTTTTTCCCTTATATTAATGGTTTCTCCTTCATCAGATAACAAGTCGTCTTTCCTCTGTGGAGGCACTTCCCAGAAGCCGGCTATTTGAACACGGAGCCCGTTATCTGCAGGAATATTATTCATCGTGGGCTCAGCAGCAGGGCGGATACGTACGTACACCCCCACTTCCTGCTTTTAATAACCAGCTCTTCACTCTAAAACGTATTTAAAATGTTCCCCTTTTTCTCTCACAGGAGGCGATTTTTCAGGATGATGAGGAAGTTGACTGATACGGTCGCAGAAATCGAGCATCACTAAAAGTTTTCAAAGAAACAAATTGAACTCAGGACCTTCTTTCTTTGAAATTCTCAAATCAGTTTTCAAGAATGTCTTGAAAGCTTGTGGTTTATAAACCTACTGTGATCCAAAGATCTCTTGCAGCCAGCAGTCGGTTTGTCTCTGCAGGGATCAACGAAAAAGAAGAAATCATTTTTATGGAAAATTATTCGTAAAGCTTTTGTTTACTTTGTAAAGTTCTAATTATGTTTTTTGTCTTTGTACTTCTAAAGGCATTAAATGTCTTATCTCACTAGCACTTTTAGAAAAAAAGAGTGGGGGAGAGGGAAAACTTGAGCTTTTTCAATGATGGTATAATTTTAATTTATTTTGTTAAAATATCAATTTTCTAATTTTGTTAAATTTTTATTATAATTTTTTTATATATAATTTTTAGATGCGCTTGTTATATTTCAACTGTGTTTTTTACCCTTTTTAATATGACCTGTGCATCTGATGTTTGAAGTCACAAACTTCAATATGTTTTATCTGGTTTAAAATGTTCCAAAGTTAGATATTGTTTTATAAACCAAACCTGCTTTTAGACCGGCACAAAAGAAAACTGACATGTCTGAGATGTTCCTCTGTCTCCACTTTTCTCTCACTATCATTCAAAACTGTAAGTCCTTTACAGAAAAGGTAAAGTGCCAAAATAATGAAAGTGGACTCAGAGGTTGTTTCTTAAGGCGGATAGTTCGGCTTGAATTTATTTAAGGATGTAATCGTGAACTGGACTGATTTTAAAAGAATTATCTTCGAATGAAGGACAGTTTTTAACTCATATGGGTTTTTTTTTATTTTTTTTTTTATTGGACCATCATTTTATTAGATGTAGCACAAGTCCTTTTAATGAAAAGGAGCCCAAACTGAAGTAGTTTAAGCTTCAAGCTTTTAAAACATGCATTTTATTTTTGCTCCAGATTAAATGCACTGCCAAAATTGTATATTTTTTGTTTTCTGCATATTCTAGGAGTTTAAGTCTTAATTACACATATATGATTATATTAAATTATAGGATAATGTGTATGAAATTGTCATTGAAAGCTTTTAAGCTTGTTTTACTTTAATTTGTTTCTCTGAGCAACAGCAGCCCCATGTGGTCACAAGATGAACTGCATGTCCCAATTTGCTCAATTGATACATGATGTACTGTATTTTGTCATGTTAAAAGAGTAATTTGCAATTCAACTGTGAATAAAATAGTTAATGTTTGGCCTACCTTTTAAACTTTTTTACAAGTAATTTATGTTTCCTTGTTATTTGGAAGTCTACAACTGAAACTACCTAAAGACTACACCCTGAGTTTAAGAGAAGCAAAGATATCTCAATGTTTCAAAATGTATTTTTAAAGATGTTTAGAATATATAAAATATTTAAAATGTGTATTGTTATGAAAATAAAAAATCAAAGTTTCTATACCAGAGGATGAATTTTGATTTTATACATTTATGTGAAAGCAAACAGCATTAGAGGCTCATTACACCATAGTAACAAATATTTGGTCATGCACAAAAATTCTCACAATATTTTGGAAGATTAGAAGGGGATATTTGGATATATAAATAGTGTACCGTATTTTCTAGACTATAAGCTGCTACTTTTTTCCAGTGTATAGGTTGAGCTATGCTGCCTCTGTGGTCTGGGAATGATAATCCTTTCCACTTCTACTGTGGAAATTACCAGCAGATTGTTTTCCAATGTATCTGTTGTGGTACAGAAGAGAAACAGGCTGAATCCAAAGATTATCCTGACCTGCTACTTGGTTTGGTAGGGGACAGTTCATCAGATAGTGGCTCACATAAGATGTGCTCTGTGGTCTAGAAAATAAGTTATTTTAAAAAAAGAAGCTATGATTCAGATAAATTCAAATTTTTTTTTAAAAAGCTTCTTTTAATGTAAGGAATGTGCCATTTACATAAAAATCTGGTATATAAGACATAAAGCTCTAAGTATATATATTCAAGGTATAACATTATAGAGATAAGAAGTTTGGTATTTACGAGTTTGAATGGAAAAAGATGAAAAAGAATTTTACAAGTAAGGTTTTAATCTAAAAATGTAAACAAAAAACTTTACATTTTGAAGTAAATATAAAAATGATTCATTTGATTTTCTTATATTTTGTATTATTGATAGAATGATTGACCCTTTCTTGATGCTACACAACAAAATGTATTTACATTTCAACAACGCTATAATTTTATTATGTTGGGATCAACAGAACTAAGTCAAACTACTTTGAATAAATATCATTTAAACTTTCATTATTTACATGTAATTCTTTTTTTACGACTTATTTTGTCATTATCAGGTGTTTCCCTGAGAAAACATGTATTAACTCAGTTGGATCTTTAAAAAACATCGTGAAATAGAGTTTATTTAGAAGTTGTCATAAATAACTTGCATTTGGGTTTCAAGTAGGTTAACAAAAGAACATATTTCAATGGGGAAATAGCTCCATCATGTGATCAATATAGGAACTACAATCGCTTAAAACTTAATTCAACTTTGAAACAAGTGCTGAGATTTTTTTAAATCTTTTTTTTGTGGACTCCTTTTGTTAAAAAAAAAAGAAATATTTTTTGTTTAGCTGTAAGATTATGTATTGCCTACTTTATTTTTTTAAAAAGTATTCAAAAGAGAGAACGGTTTAAACTAAGAATAAAAGAATGTTAATTACATCAGTTGCCTTTTAAATTGACATCGTTGGTGAATAAAGTTAAGTTTTTTTTACTTTATAGTCATTGTAAGGAAGTTTCAATTTGCAGGAGATTTTGGATCACTTCATGCTTCCATCTGCTGAAAAGATTTGTGGAGATGAAGATTTCCTTTTTCAGCACGACCTGGCACCTGCTCACAGTGCCAAAACCACTGGTAAATGGTTTACTGACCATGGTATCACTGTGCTCAGTTGGCCTGCCAACTCTCCTGACCTGAACCCCATAGAGAATCTGTGGAATATTGTGAAGTAGAAGTTGAGAGACACAAGACCCAACACTGTGGATGAGCTAAAGGCCGCCTTTGAAGCATCCTGGGCCTCCATAACACCTCAGCAGTGCCACAGGCTGATTGCCTCCATGCCACGCCGCATTAAAGCAGTCATTTATTCAAAAGGATTCCCAACAAAGTATTGAATGCATAACTGTACATAATTATTTGAAGGATGACTTTTTTTTTGTATTAAGAGCACTCTTCTTTTATTGGTCGGATGGAATGTGCTAATTTTGAGAGATAGGAATTTGGAGTTATGATGAGCTGAATGCCAAAATCATCTGTATTAAGACAATAAAAGACCTGAAATATTTCAGTTAGTGTGCAATGAATCTAAAATATATGAATGTTCAATTTTTATCATTACATTATGGAAAATAATGAACTTTATCACAATATGCTAATATTTTGAGAAGGAGCTGTATTTCAATGGGGAAACAGCACCCTCATGTGTTCAATACAGGAACTACAATCGCTTAAAACTTTATTCAACTTTGAAAAATGTTAGATTTTTTAAAAATCTTTTTTGTGGACTCCTTTTGTTTATAAAAAAAAGAATAATATATATATATATATATATATATATATATATATATATATATATATATATATATATATTTGTTTAGCAGTAAGATTATGTATTGCCTACTTTATTTTTAAAAAGTATTAAAAGAGAGAGAACGGTTTAAACTATGAATACGTGATTTTGTGTTCATTATGTTGCCTTTTAAATTGACATAGTTTGTGAATAAAGTTAAGTTTGTTACTTTGCAGTCATTGTAAGGAAGCTTACATTTGCATTTTTTGGAAGCGGAGCGTGTCATGCTGCCCGCTGTGGAGTCTGAAATGAGATCCAACCCGTTCTCCAGCAGATCAACCTGCTCTCTGACAGCTGCCGCGGACTTTAAGCGGCATTACCAGGCTCAGCATGAAGGGAGTAATGTTTAACCCCGCTCCCAGGATCCGTGAGGTCGCCTCCAAGGACTCCCTGGCAATGGATGACTCAGCTGTGGAGCCTGTTCGCATTAAAACATCCCGGCTGAGCCAGACGACCGCCGAGGCTCATCTGGAAACGACGTGGCCGCCGCCCGGAGCCAAGGTGCGCATCAAGGCCAACAAGGGCGCGGTGGTGAGGGTGGCCCGGCGGTGTTCCAACCCCCAAGCGTCCAGTTTGGAGGAGGTGTGGGCACCGAGAGAGGAGCCGGAGGAGAAACCTCAGAGCCCTGAAACGAGAAAACCGCCTGAAGCCATGAAAAACGGGGTAGAAGGACACGGAGGAGCGCCACCCAGGAGCCGGAAGAACCGCTTCAGGGCCCCCGATGTGAGGACCATCTTCTCTCCCAGCGAAAAGGACCCCAGAGTGAAGGAGGAGACCGGGGAGGGACACACCTTTGAGCCCGGAGGCGAGAACAACTGGTGTGATGTTTGCTGCAATTATATCCTCCAACACGGTCTCACCTGTGCAGGTATGAAGGAGAAGGTCAGAATAAAATACTAGAAGTTTTAAATGTATTGAAATGCAGAGGCGTAGCCAGAAAATCCTAATAGAGGTGACCGAAAAGAACCTCAGGGTCATCTAAACTGTTCCAACTTCCATATTTTCTAAATAATGACAAACTATATTTTCCTGCAGCCTTTTCTAACAAATAGACACATATATTTAAACATAAATGATGTGTAAATAAAAGGTAAAGTGGGAAAAAATTATTTTAGGTTTGAGACAATGTCTTTTATTATCAATCATTCTGCAAAAAAATATATGTTAATCTACTAATATCCACATTTAAGGAATTTTTGAGTTATTATTAAAGTATATGATTTCACTGAAGACTCCTAGATGACGCGCAGAGGTACATAATTTAATATTTAGCCCAAATAATTCAAAATTTAGTTCTAAAAAGAGCATAAATTCTTTATCTATCATCTTTAATGTTTGTATGTTAATGTGCATAATTAACAGCAGTGTTTCTGTTTGTCAAGTAGTTGTTACTATATGAAAATTGAAATGTTAAATAAGTTTGAACATTCCCCTTCAGAGTATTGCTGATGCCACAGTCTGTATCAGAGGGAAAAATGGTAGGGGGGGGGGGTGGCCAAGGATTGGCTAAGGGTGGCCATGGCCAATGGAAATGATAGATTGGCTTAAATAAAGCTATTAATCCAAAACCCAGTATGTTTTGATTTTATGAAATATAACCAAAAATAGAGTAACGCTGAAATAGAAGAAAAAAAATGCACATAAAACATACATAAACTTCAAAAGATATGCATATATATTAAATTAAAAATTCAAATGTTCATTTATGCGAGGACTCCAGGTCAGTGCTATGTAAAATCACTTTTTACTGCATCCTGAAGGGTCTTTGGATGAGACTTAGAAATGTTGCTTATTCTTCCTTGGTTCAAACTCCAACAGCCAGTTAAATTGGAATTAGGTTTTTACAAATCAGCATGTTATGTGATGTTGGCTTCTAGCAAACTTTGAACAAACAGGACAGGATTTGTCCTTTCCTCAAAAATACCCCCCTCCCATTAAAGATCTGTGTAAAGCGCAAAGACTTTTATTAATCCCACCTGAGTTGTGTCTTTTTGCAACTCCTCCACCATTAGCACAGCCCCAATGGCTGCCTCTCCTATTAATACTGCCACAACCCTCTTTATCTTCATGATTATGACTGATGTTGTTTTCCTAATGTACCTAATAAACCTCTTAGACGTCCAAATATCAGCTGCAGAGGAGTAGCCAGAAAATCTTTATAAGGGTGGCCATGGGATAACCAATGTACACTGAGGGGTGGCCAAAAGTGGATAGGCGCCAGAACCTCAGGGTCAATCTAAAGTGTTCCAACAGGAAAAATAATGAGCAAAACATCCATATTTTCTAAACAAAGACAAACTATACTTACTCCTACAGCCTTTGCTAACAAAAGGACATATATATTTAAACATCCATGCTTTCTAAATAAAAGGTATAGTGGATAAAATTCTTTCAGGTCACCCCTGGCCCCCTATCTAGCTCCGCCCCTGATCAGCTGCACTTAGATTACATATTAATTTATTATAGAGTCACACACAGGTGCACTCTGTTTACTCTCCAGGTATGTTATGAAGCAAATGGTTACTTTGGATTTAAAGGTATTGGTGTAAAAAGGACATTTGTCAGGTTTATATTTAAAGTAAGTCCCAACACCACACAATTATGCTCCACTTTGCATTTATCTACTACACAGAATCACATTAAAATACATAAAAGCTGGTAAGCCACAGAGTGTTGTGCTAATGGTATATAAAGTGCAATTAGCTGCAATTTGTATTTG